TTTTGCTGATGGTATAAAACTCTGATATAATTCAGAATAAATAACAATTGAATTTAATCTAATTTAATTAAGTAGTAGTGCTATTCTACTACATATATTTAGTTTCAATTATATTCTACAATTTCTTTAACTCTGCAGGTATCTTCCATATTTGTTAAATATTGAATGAAATAAATAGTCATTAAAAGTTCAAAATATATATTATATTATTTTTCAATATACATAGATTAATAAATTTCAATCCTTGCTACATGATAAACTATATATATACATGACGCGTTGTTCCTTGTCACTTTATGTCCACAGCACACTCCCACGTAGCAGTGTCAGTCCCATGTTAACGATTAAAACAAAGATTGGTGCATTGCCTAGTGCCAGGGTGCGTAACTATATATATACATGACGCGTTGTTCCGTGTCATTTTATTTCCACAGCACACTCCCACGTAGCAGTGCCAGTCCAATGTTAACGAGTAAAACAACGATTGGTGCATTGTCTAGTGCCAGGGTGCGTAACTATATCTACATGACACATTGTTCCTCGTCACTTTATGTCCACAGCACACTCCCACGTAGCAATGCCAGTCCCATGCTAAAGAGTCAAACGACGATTAGTGCATCGCCTAGTGTCAGGGTGCGTAACTATATATTAGGTACATACCGGTAAATTCAAATTATCTACAAGTAAACTCATCATTGTAATGTAAGGGAAAATCAATACAATCCTAAAATAACAAAAAATCCTTATTCTATACGATAATAAGTATAAATTTTTTTCATATACTATTTGTCTTTTCTTGTTATGTTGAGGTTATATTTATTTTCCATTACATTAAAATACCAAGGTGGTTAAAAAAATTAAACAACAAAATCCTTATTTATAAAAATGATATAAGAAATGTTGTATGTGTTACAAGAAATATTAATTATATTTATATATTTAAAATTACAAGCCAAGTGTAGTGTGTAGTACCTATTTAGTGTTCTAAATGATGGGACAAGAACTTGTCAGTATTCAAATAATTGTTTTGTTATTCTTTATTCTAATTAATGCCAAGTTTTATGTGAATACAAGCCTGGTCGTGGTAAAAACAAACTTGGAACTGCTGTTCTCTTATTGCCCTTTTGTAAAACTTGGATTATATCCCCCTTTCTTTAAAATGACTAGTGCATAAATGAAAATTGTTATAGTTTCTGTTGCAGTATTCTCGAGTTTAGACGTCTTAACAGCATTTACCCATTTATCAAACATATCCATGTAATTTCCTGGACTTTGAAAACGGTATTGCTTGCTAGTACAACAACTTTTTTGTTCAGTTCTTCATGTTTCCATTATTATTTTACATAATGTGTTCGATTCCATAATTAAAAATCGTTTAAAAATTATCCTTTTTTCTTTTGCACTATTTATTTGACTTTAACCAAGGTTATTAAAAGACAGGTTGCATGGTAACCATCGATCAAAAAGTTTTGCTGATGATATAAAACTCTGACATAACTCAGAATAAATAACAATTTAATTTAATCTAATTTAATTAAGTAGTAGTGCTATTCTACTACATATATTTAGTTTCAATTATATTCTACAATTTCTTTAACTCTGCAGGTATCTTCCATATTTGTTAAATATTGAATGAAATAAATAGTCATTAAAAGTTCAAAATATATATTATATATTTTTTAACATACATAGATTAATAAATTTCAATCCTTGCTACATGATAAACTATATATATATACATGACGCGTTGTTCCTTGTCACTTTATGTACACAGCACACTCCTACGTAGCAGTGCTAGTCCCATGTTAACGAGTAAAAGGACCATTGGTGCATTACCTAGTGTCAGGGTGCGTAATTATATATTACATACCGGTAAATCCAAAAGGCACGTAAAATTATCTACAAGTAAACTCATCATTGTAATGTAAGGGAAAATCAATACAATCCTAAAATAACAAAAAATCCTTATTCTATACGATAATAAATATAAATTTTTTCGTATACTATTTGTCTTTTCTTGTTATGTTGAGGTTATATTTATTTTCCATTACATTAAAATACCAAGGTGGTTAAAAAAATTAAACAACAAAATCCTTATTTATAAAAATGATATAAGAAATGTTGTATGTGTTACAAGAAATATTAATTATATTTATATATTTAAAATTACAAGCCAAGTGTAGTGTGTAGTACCTATTTAGTGTTCTAAATGATGGGACAAGAACTTGTCAGTATTCAAATAATTGTTTTGTTATTCTTTATTCTAATTAATGCCAAGTTTTATGTGAATACAAGCCTGGTCGTGGTAAAAACAAACTTGGAACTGCTGTTCTCTTATTGCCCCTTTGTAAAACTTGGATTATATCCCCCTTTCTTTAAAATGACTAGTGCATAAATGAAAATTGTTATAGCTTCTGTTGCAGTATTCTCGAGTTTAGACGTCTTAACAGCATTTACCCATTTATCAAACATATCCATGTAATTTCCTGGACTTTGAAAACGGTATTGCTTGCTAGTACAACAACTTTTTTGTTCAGTTCTTCATGTTTCCATTATTATTTTACATAATGTGTTCGATTCCATAATTAAAAATCGTTTAAAAATTATCCTTTTTTCTTTTGCACTATTTATTTGACTTTAACCAAGGTTATTAAAAGACAGGTTGCATGGTAACCATCGATCAAAAAGTTTTGCTGATGGTATAAAACTCTGACATCACTCAGAATAAATAACAATTTAATTTAATCTAATTTAATTAAGTAGTAGTGCTATTCTACTACATATATTTAGTTTCAATTATATTCTACAATTTCTTTAACTCTGCAGGTATCTTCCATATTTGTTAAATATTGAATGAAATAAATAGTCATTAAAAGTTCAAAATATATATTATATATTTTTCAATATACATAGATTAATAAATTTCAATCCTTGCTACATGATAAACTATATATATAACTGACGCGTTGTTCCTTGTCACTTTATGTCCACAGCACACTCCCACGTAGCAGTGTCAGTCCCATGTTAACGAGTAAAACAACGATTGGTGCATTGCCTAGTGCCAGGGTGCGTAACTATATATATACATGACGCGTTGTTCCGTGTCATTTTATTTCCACAGCACACTTCCACGTAGCAGTGCCAGTCCAATGTTAACGAGTAAAACAACGATTGGTGCATTGTCTAGTGCCAGGGTGCGTAACTATATCTACATGACGCGTTGTTCCTCGTCACTTTATGTCCACAGCACACTCCCACGTAGCAATGCCAGCCCCATGCTAACGAGTCAAACGACGATTAGTGCATCGCCTAGTGTCAGGGTGCGTAACTATATATTAGGTACATACCGGTAAATTGAAAAGGCACGTAAAATTATCTACAAGTAAACTCATCATTGTAATGTATGGGAAAATCAATACAATCCTAAAATAACAAAAAATCCTTATTCTATACGATAATAAGTATAAATTTTTTTCGTATACTATTTGTCTTTTCTTGTTATGTTGAGGTTATATTTATTTTCCATTACATTAAAATACCAAGGTGGTTAAAAAAATTAAACAACAAAATCCTTATTTATAAAAATGATATAAGAAATGTTGTATGTGTTACAAGAAATATTAATTATATTTATATATTTAAAATTACAAGCCAAGTTAATTACTATTATAACTGGGAATAAGCCACAATTAAAGATAAAGTACGTTTATTGACGTTTCAATTTCCAATTCGGAATCAAGAATATACAAGCCAGTGTAGTGTGTAGTACCTATTTAGTGTTCTAAATGATGGGACAAGAACTTGTCAGTATTCAAAATAATTGTTTTGTTATTCTTTATTCTAATTAATGCCAAGTTTTATGTGAATACAAGCCTGGTCGTGGTAAAAACAAACTTGGAACTGCTGTTCTCTTATTGCCCCTTTGTAAAACTTGGATTATATCCCCCTTTCTTTAAAATGACTAGTGCATAAATGAAAATTGTTATAGTTTCTGTTGCAGTATTCTCGAGTTTAGACGTCTTAACAGCATTTACCCATTTATCAAACATATCCATGTAATTTCCTGGACTTTGAAAACGGTATTGATTGCTAGTACAACAACTTTTTGTTCAGTTCTTCATGTTTCCATTATTATTTTACATAATCTGTTCGATTCCATAATCAAAAAACGTTTAAAATTGTACTTTTTTTCTTTTGCACTATTTATTTGACTTTAACCAAGGTTATAAAAAGACAGGTTGCATGGTAACCATCGATCAAAGAGTTTTGCTGATGGTATAAAACTCTGACATAGCTCAGAATAAATAACAATTTAATTTAATCTAATTTTATTAAGTATTAGTGCTATTGTACTACATATATTCAATTATATTCTACAATTTCTGTAACTCTGCAGGTATCTTCCACATTTGTTAAATATTGAATGAAATAAATAGTCATTAAAAGTTCAAAATATATATTTTTTTCAATATACATAGATTAATATAATTTCAATCCTTGCTGCTTTTTGAGTTTATTTCAACAAGTAGCGGTGAATGAATTAAAAGGTAGCATTTTTAGTGACGTCATTCCTGCCATTAGATTCTCGATGCCGATTGGTGTGAAGTTACCAGACAACATGTCTATTTACTAACCTTGGACTATAATGACATAAACTGACAACCACAGCACACTCCCAACAGGTTATATTATATCTGTAACGACAACGAACATTGCCTAGAGACGAGACTAGCAATGCCACCAAACGGAAGGGTGCACAAATAAAAACGTGCGTTTACTGTAGCTAACCTTGTTACCAATCTAGGTTTAATTTTAACTTTCATAGTTTACAGTTTATTTATTTGGCGTTGGTCGGTTTGACATATGACATTTATTAAAGGTTATTAAACTTTTCAAGTCCAATAGTTGTCATCAAAATATACAATATAGTGAATAGTGATATTTAATACAAAAAGTTCTTTACCGTTAAACGTTTGCCAAAATCCTTAAAAATTCCTAAAATGCCTACAGTTTTACCAGAAAACACAGCTACAACTTCGAAAGCAGCTGACCATTCTGAACAAATGTGGAAAGTACTTAAAAATCATATATTAAGAGAAAGAGCCAGGAAAAAACAAGAAAGGGAACAAGAAGTTGAAGAAGAAAGGTTAAGAAAAGAACGGGAAGCCAGAGAGCAGCAAGATGTCATGACTTTGGGGGAAACAAGGGATCAAATTCTACAGCTTGAACAAAAGTTGACCCACTTAAAAGAAGAAAAGCATCAGTTATTTTTACAATTAAAAAAGGTTTTAAATGAAGATGATAATAGGAGGCGACAGAAGGAAAATACGTATGTAGTATTTGTGTACTATTCTCTATTGTTTAGTTATCTTTGCTAAATTACTGACATTCATTTTCTGGAAAATTGTGGTTTCTCATTTTCCTGTTTTGTTCATCTCTATCTCTTAATAATTACACTTCTTAGACTAGCTTCTCTAGAAAACATTTGAAATTTACTCGATCTTGTAGCCCTTAAAATTCCCTACAAAATGGTTTTTTTTTATCTATAAAATAGTTGAAAAAGAAAGGGAGTTATGACCAAAAAACTAAATGTAGTTTAAAATTCAGAGAAAATTATGGAGCGTGCAAATATTTTAAATTTTGGATATAAATAAAATAGAAATCAATAAAACCACCCTTAATGAGAGCAATTGACTAACCTGCTGAAAGCTAGTAGAATTTAAAAAAAGACTTTGCCTATGGCATATCTTTTCACTAATTTATTACCAATTCAATAATTTTGCACTCTCAAACCTACTGCTTGTTTGTAGAGTACTTAACAAACCTACTACAGTTCACCTCGAATCAGGTCACCTTGACTAATGTCTTCCCCTGCTCCTGAAGAAGTATTGCTACCTACAAGGGCAGATTAATGTTAAGATATACAGGTATTCTAAAAAGAAATGGTTCAAATCAGGTAAATTCACTAGGGGCACCTTGCAGCATCCCCATTTACTCTTAGCAAGGCAGGTTGGAAACCCTTGGTTTACAGCACTTCAGCTTATATGTAAAAGAAACAGTCTTCTAATTTCAGCTAAACTAAACATTATATTGTAGTTCAACTTTAGTTTGTCATACTAAACAAAAATATTAAGTGACATCTATGATACAGTTCATTTTTGTGGGATTGTTCTTAGATCTAAATTTAACATTTTTTACATATTTTAAAAATGAAGGATATTAGATTAACTATTGTTTTTTTATTTCAGAGAAAACTTAATATCTTTACAACAAATACCAGGAAATATGGTACATCCACAACTATATATTCAGCAGCAGCCCCAATTCCAACCACCACCACAACAACAACAACAACAACAGCCCCCTCAACCTCCACGATTGGTTCCTATGCCTCAACAACAGCCACAGCCACCCCCACAAACAGTTTTTAAACAGTCAAAAAGACCTAGGAGTCCTAGTCCGCCGCCACAAGTACCTGTCACAATGTATCATAATTATGGTTACAAAACTCCCACAGTGGGGACTTCTTCTTACCAGGGATCTCCTCAAAGTAAGTTTAAGTATTTGATTGCTTCAGTAGAATTTAGATGTTAAGTATTCTTCTAAGGTAGATAAACTAAACCCTCAATTTTATTTCAGTTTACATCATAATTTTTTTATTTATTGAAAGGAATAGATCTCTGCAAAAAAAAACAACCAAAAACAATTTGCGAACTAATCACTAGTAAATAAATGATACTTGACAAAAACATTTTACCAATACATTACTCATAGTAATATATAAAATAGTAACTGCCAAATAGAATTTAATGGAACAGCAATGTAAAGAAATTGAAGAGTTCAATAAAAACATGATGATGCAAACTTATACAAAAAACTTACAACACTTAATGGGCACAAAGATTCTACATTTATTGTAGAACATTATTGCCAGCACTGGTAATTTGATCAGCTGAAAATGTTCAGGCGAAAAATTGAAGGATTGAAAAAGTATATTGAAGAGACATATCACCTAGAAAGAGGTTCTTCCAATTCTTTTCTTCCAATAACAAAATATGTATATAACATGAAAATCAGTACATTATTGCAAAAGAGCCTGTACATCATAATAGAATTTCAGCTGGAGACGAAGTATAGCCATGGCAATGTTTATGTAAGACAATAAAGTTATAGAAAATGTACTGAAGGCAATTCTGAAATTTACCACCAAAATTATAACTAACATAATAAATGCTGTCAAGTACTGTTAGGAGAAGAACAACAAGAAGATCTGGAAGTTCATGTACAGATGTGGCATTTATTATGCAGCAAGTATTAGATAAATCTACTGAATATAGTAAACTAGCATTCCAATGTTTTGTAGACCTAGGATAAGTCTTTTATATAAGCTGAAGGATGTTATCAAACTACTGTGCAGCAGGGAAAAATTTATTAAAGTATACACTGATATTAGACAAGATGATTCACAATTGTCTTGTAACATGTTGAGGTAATAATGAGTTTCCAAAAGAAAAGGATATAAAATAAAAAATGCAGATATGAAACAAAAAGTCTTGACTCTTAAGAACATAATAAAAACAATTTAGACAATGCAACGAAAAAATAAAAATTGTGAATACATGGAAATGTTGAAAACTGGTATTTCTAGAACAGAAAATAAGTTGCATAAGGACAAAAGAAGGTTTTTGCGACACAAATTCTTCTATCTTACGAACCTGGAATGGGGAGAACAACAAGAATAATAAGCTGGCAAATATTTCGAAAACACTCATGAATATCAATGATCATGCATGACAAAAAAAACTGAACATACTACACTTCCTTTTTTATGCTTTTTATATAAGTTTGGAAGTATATTTTCTTTAATTTGCACTGTTCTCTGTGTGCATGGTAAATCACAAAGATACATTAAATAAAATTGGCGATATAAGATCAAATCTACCATTTCTATATATTTTTTTCTTTATTTGCAGAAGATGACAATAGACGTAATGAATTAGTACGAGCAGTGCTGTGGAACAGTGAGTGTCTCTTAGACAACTTTCTGCTTTTTCAGCTAGATTCATCTCAATTGTGGTTGGGTCTTAAATATAAGAATTTTTTTCATTTTGCTTTGGCAAATTACATAGTACTGCCAGGTATTTTTAACTTGATCAAACCGAATTATGTTAGTTGATATAGGGTTTGGTAAGAATTGTTCCTTAAATTTTCACAAAAATTAAATTAAATGTTTATCATACCACTTAATTGATCTTGGCATATGTTAAGGAATTGGTCATAACTCTAAATAATGACAAAAATAACAGTATACAAAATACAATATAGGGATTATAAGCAAAATTGATTTTATGCTAACTATTCCTCACATGGGCCTAAACATAAATGGATATTACAAGAGTTTTGTGGAAATTGGATAGAAAATCAGTGCAAATTCATTACTTGCGTTTTTTTGGGTTGCCAAACATTAGTATCATTAATATCATGACAGTGACACTGATTTTTTATCGAATTTGCATAAAACTCTAAAAGTCGAGGTCGTTTCGGGCGTCAGGTGCCTCATATATTATCACCGACATGATATTAATGTTCAGCGATCCCAAAAACCACCGTGTGGCGAGTGCATTGATTTTTATCAAGGACAAGGCCTAGGGACACCCTTATGATCAGTGACCTCAAAAACCCCTGAGTAGTAATATTAAACTCATTTCTGTCAACTGTTTTTGAGCTACAAATTTATGATTTTTCATCACTTCGAAATGCTTTTTCCTCGTTCAATAATGTAATTTTCACTACAACATCAACACATTTGTTAACAAATATTCTGAAACTGATAGAATCGAATGCAAAAAGTTTCATTGAGATCTGTCTTATTGCAAAAATTTGGTAGGTTTTTATTGTTTCATTGCCTCCCCTATAATAAGAACAAATATTTACAAAAAATGATAAATAGTGAATCTATAACAAATCGAACTAGAGCTCGACTGTGAGAAACTTAAACAAAGTTCATTTACATTTTTTGGTGTTTGCAACTACGTCAGTCCATTTTATTTTGTCTAACTACTGGTCTATATGTTTTGTTGGCCTACTCTCGTATACCACTAAGCCAGGCATGTTATCGTCCTCCCGGTACACTTCTACTTTCTGTAGAAAGAAGAAGAATATTTATTTGAAAACGACTTGCCGTTCCTTTGAGAGACGTACCGTTATTAATAACGTCTAAAACAGCTTTTAACCTCTGACTGTCGACTGGTGTTCTTTTCTTGGCTCCTTCCCTCTTTTTGTATTGACGTGGCATATCTATAAAATAAAAAAACATCTATATGTCTATAAGGAGTTTCTGGGAGACTTAATCCCGGAATGATATCTTTCAGATAAGAAGGAATCAAGTCTCCCCCAAGAGGCCATTTTAATATTTTAGTCTATAAAAAATGACAACAAACTAGAAATCACTGCAAACTATGCAAAACGTAAACTAAATGATTATGGTGTTAGATAAAAATTATACGAATCACTCACCTAAACAAATAGTAAAGAAAATCAACTTGAAATAATTCTGAAAACACTTCTCCGTGGGGACAAAATATTTGTAATGAACACATGCTCTCTGTTGTGGATTCTAACGAAAACTAAATTACGTGTGATCTACTGCCAATTTGCCATACTAACAGCTACGCTATGTTGCTGGTTTTATAATTCTAGGCTGCTTATTTACTGAAATTTTAAAGAGTGATCAAGTCTCAAATATGATGAAGTCTCACTCTTCTCCTCTACACATTTATATAAAAATAAAAAAACTTGTTTCATAACTGAAAGTATATTTTTCATTTCCTCAAATATATTTATGGTGTTGATAATATTTTAATGATATAAAGATGCTGGCAGTACTATAAAAATGTATATAATATCAGTGCACTATTTTTACTTGATACACTTTACTAATAAATGAATGCGTTTCCTAAAGAACAAGACGAATAAAAAACTGTAAGTAACAATATTTATTGGTTGTGGTTAAACGTTCAAGGATGAGGATGAGGTATATATTTTTATGTGTAAACTGTACTCTATTTTGTAATTTGTTTCTTTGCTGTTATCACATCGTGACAAGTTTGTCGTTTGTGTTTTAAGGTTATACATTATTTGTTCCCATCAATTTTAATATGTTACATACATTTCCTATGTGAGTTGTCGGGTTTCATGAAAGTTTTTCTTTTTCTTCATTTTCATTGCATGTATGATAATTTTCTTTTTTCTGTTTTATTTAAGTGATTGTAATCGTCCAAATCTTATATTACGGTTCATAATTGCAGATAGACAACAAATCAGTACAATCTATTGCCTAACATAAAAACTGTTAAATTCCACAACGAAAACAGGATAGGATAACTGATTTGCGTCTATATATAATATTTAATAGACATTTTGTGATCTTCTAACTTACCCCGTTTCAACAAAGTTTTTCTTTCATCTTGTTTCAATGCATGTGTTTGATTTTACTTTAATAGTGACTTTAAACGTACAAAAACATTATTCGGGTTAATTTTAACGAAAGTACAAGTTGAATATAGCCGCAAAGGTTAACCATGGAACAAAACATTTCGGTTTAGCAGTGTTGGTATGTTTTTATAGTTTATATGTTGTATGTTTCAAATATAAAAAGGTACATTTTAATTACATTATTTTATGAATTCTGCAATTTTTAAATTATCTAAAACAAGAACTAGAAAATATTTGTATAGTTCGAGATTAATTGCAACTGATTGTTTAAATTAACTTTAACTGATAAATAACTGACTGTTTAAACGATAAACTAACATCAATAAACAACACATTAGATCTAAAATACATTTTAAATGTAGTGACTTAGTGGGTATGTCCTATGTTTTTAATATTATTTTAATTGTGACGTCTACTTGTTAGCACCGAATTTTTACATGCTTGGTAAGTCAAAAGTTTAACTTTTAAACCTTATTATGTCTGTGATAAAATGTTTTTTAGTCAATATTACTTCAAAACAGAAGTCAACTACTTCATAAGTTTATAGAAGACGTTTCGCTTTATTCTTCTAAAGCTTCATCAGTTCTCTCAAATACAAAGATGATATAGAGTTTATAAGAAATACAGATATAATAATTTATAACTTACAATATGTACTTAAGTTTACTCATTAATTTAGAAGTAACTTAAAAAAAACCGGTGCAATACTAGCCTCCATATCCAATAACATACAGACGGACAATTCCCTGTTAACCCCAAAACCAGTCACAAAATATGCTTCTCTTCCCTATTTCCCACAAATTACGAAAAGCTTACTAAACTATTCAAAAACTTACCCGTCAAAATATCCACAAAAAACACTAAAACCATTGGAAAGTTATTCTCCAAGTCCAAAACTCCACTAAGCTCGTTAGAGCACACTAATGTTGTCTATCAGATTCCCTGTTCTGAATGCAATTCCTGCTACATTGGCCAGACCAGTCGTTCACTTCTAGGGCGTATAATTTCACATAAAAGCGAAATTAGACTTTCCAAACCCTCTTGTGCCCTTGCACAACACGCCATTTCCACCAACCATCACATTGACTTCTCAAACACTAAAATACTGGCGAAACAAAATAACGATCAAAAACGCTCCTTTATTGAAATGTGTGAGATCCTAAAAAACCCTTCTGCATTAAACAAAAGAACCGACATCGACAATTTGAGCCAGGTTTACCACTCTCTCATCTTACGAAATAAATAATACCATTATTCATCATTAAATATAGCCTTATTTTCCGTTCAAAATTAACACAATCGTCCCATATCTCTAAGTTTCATTAAAACATAAATTACCAAAAAAAAAAATATATATATCAAATTTTTCCGTCATACTAATCCACTTGTCCAACTAATCTTTCAATGACCCCCGTAGAAGTTCATAATTGTCTCAAACCTTGGAATTTGTTGAACATATGGCCCTTAAAAATTTTCGGTATCGCGTCACGTCGTTTGCAGAGATTGCAATAAATCAGTGTTTTGTTTGTCTTTATTGGAGAACTATCTCTAAATGAAGCCAAATGTACGTTTAAAATTTTGTTAAATCTTCGTTTCTGCGAATGATATTATTTTTGCAAAGTTTTTGTGTTCTTTGTTTCTGGTTTTTTTAGGTTAGTTCTAAATTAATGAGTAAGCTTAAGTACATATATAATAACATCCTTAATACTACATATTGAGTTGTAAGTTATAAATTATTAGATCTGTATTTCTTATAAACTCTATGTCATCTTGGTATTTTAGAGAACTGATGAAGCTTTAGAAGTATAAAGCGAAACGTCTTCTATAATGCAGTCATACAACTTTATTGACAGCTGCTCAACGGATGTTGATGTTTTTGCGGATTTCAGATATCAAATGCTGATTTCAGATATTCACTTATTCCGTGTGGCAGAAAATCGAGAAGCCTTTGCAATTCTGATATCCAAAGCTGGATAATTTTGATATTGAGCACGTGAAGAAGAAGAAGAAGGGGATTGTTTTAAAGAATGCCCTGAGCTGAATAAAGCATTGCCAAGTTATGAACGAAGGTCTGATAATTTCGTACAGATCTTTTAAACAACTAAAAAATAAACAACAAAAACTCATCCACAAGTATTGGAGGATAAACAATAATGGAAATAAGATTAGTAATAATTGAAAAACAGAAAATTAATGTCTATTAATAATATACATACAATTTTTATAGGAAAATCATTGCAGGGAAAGAACAACGCTAAAAGAAGCATAGGAGAAACGAAGAAGGATTTCCTGGCTGAGAAACTTTCTAGAGTAATACAATTGCACTTCATTGCTTTTCAGACTAATCGACGATAAGGTACCAATAGCTGTCATGATAACCAACCTTTGATAGATGAAGCAATTACAACAAGAAGCATTTCTAAAGGAATATTAAATTTGTATCTGTTAATGTTGTATACTTAACTATTCTCACATTCTCATTATAATCATTATCTGTCTCATCTATCATGCCTTCGAAGGTTGAGAAGGAACTCAATTGAAAATATTTTGTAATTCATTTAGTTATATTGTTTTGAAATGAAATCATCTGAGGATAGGAAGAATGGTCTTAATCATAAGACGAGAATGGAAATAAATACATAAAAATGTTTGCATGTTGTACACCATTTCAAATATCATAGTTTTAAGAAATAATTTCATATAGAGAATAATATTTAATACATCAAAACGAAAGACAGATATTTGTGAATTTTTTATTTAAAACTTGTTTTGTTCCTCACAATTGTTCCTCACTTTTTATATTCTTCTAAACACTATTTTTTTCAGAAACTCCCCAGTACGGAAACCAACCTAGCGCATTTTATCCTGTAGCCCCACAAGAACTTCCCATTTATTACCCCACGAACCGAGAACCCGCTAGAACTGTATACGAGCCACAGAGGATACAAACCTATCACCTGGAGCCGAAATTATCCGACCACTATATGCTGAGGGCGCAGCCTTCTTCGCACGGACACGTAATCCATCCGGGACCCATGCCTATTAATCAACAAGCACCACAGAAAAGTGAGTACATCTTTCTAAATTTTTCTGCAAATTCAATTGGTTTTTTTCAACGATAGAACTATATCTGCTTAATTTTCATAACTAAGGTAACAATCCTATTCTGTCTTTTGATTTATGGACCTTTGGATAAATATTAAAAATACTTTTGCTGCCAGAAAAATAAATGAATAAGCCAAATGAGTAAATCAACTGTAGTTGATCAAGAAGAGACAATAGAGTATTTCTGTCATTTTATTGTTACAATAAAAATAACCAATATGAATTATTTAAACTGGCCCACATAATTACAGAGGAATAACGCTGCTCCAGTCTACATCAAAATTGCTAACAAAAATCTTGTCACTAAGTACTAACACCTAATTGATAAACCATCCACCGTATAGCCCTGACCTAAGTCCCAACGACTTCTTCACGTTCCCAAAGATCAAGAATTCAGTGCGTAGGCAGCGATTCTTGCAGGTGTCAACTGATTACTGGATTTACCAATTGATTTGAACATATGCAAAGGTGTATCGATCTTGGTGGGACATATTTTGAAAAGCAATAAAGTACTTTAAGTTTATGTATTTTTGTCTTTATGAATTAGAAAAATTGGTAGAACACATACGCAATTATTCGATGGTAATGGATCAGAAGGAGCTTAAAACACAATGCAAGAAGCATTAGTAATGTGAACACCTGGTTTAAGCTACACCCAAGGAAATTATACACGTGGTAATCTCCACAGGATTCTGTGGGAAGGATTGTAAAAAATCAGATTGATTACGTCCTAGTAACTAAATGGTATAGGAACAACTGTACATCTGTCAAAACATACCCGGGGGCAGACATAAATTGTGATCATGTACCAGTTGTGGTTAATTTCAAAGTCAGAATGAAGAAGGTTACAAGTAAGTAGATGAAGAAATATGATGTTAGAAAACTGAAAGATCCTAATGTTCGACTGAAGGTGTGTGAAAACCTCAATACAAAGGTGAAAAAATGTAGAAATGCAGGTACTATGAAGGAAAGTCTGACCATCATACAAGAAACAATGAGAGAAATAAAAGAACACCACTTGAAGAAAGGTGAAAAGAAACCGTGGATGACCGATGAAATACTTGAACTTATGGATCACAGAAAAAAACAAAGAAAATCTCCAAGAATATAAGAGAATACATATAGAAGAAAGATACGAGAACCCCAAGAGAAACAAAAACTGATCAATGTCAAGAAATAGAGGAGTGTCTTTTCCCAGAAAAAAATTACAAACCATTATCAGCTTCCCTTATGTTGTTAAAAAAATGCTGAAAACGGAATTTTAACAGTTTACCTTTTCAAAGTTTGAGGTTAATTTAAGACATTAAGCGTAGTTTGTAATTAAATAATGCTATGGACCATTTTTTTTAGAGCATACTTTAGAAAAACAGTTTGGTTTTTGATTTATTGTTTTAGGACAAACATAAGTGAAAATATTGGCTAAAGAGTGAAGCAATGTTTTCCGTGAAAATGACCGACACGATGAAACAAAAATGGCCACCATAGAAAAATAAAAAATATTAAAAATAGTCAAGCAACCAACTTAATTTATATTGGACCACTTCGTATGGATTGACCCCGGGGTATTGCTGGTACATTCTCGTTTCTAGCAGATACATATGCTACACCTACATTTCTCTGACGCTTACGGATGTTTCTCTTTCACTGGTTAATGTTGATTTTGCGTTTCCCCCTCTATTTATGCGCAAAAGGGTAGACAGCGACACGCTAACCTACATTTTTACAGTGATAGTAGTTTGACAATGACGTACAGTTTGTCCCAAACCCTTTTTTCAGTGCGTCACTAATTTTGACGTCATATAGGATTTTAAGAATGTCGAGAATTATTGCATGACATTTTAGTTAAATCTGACAGTTGCAGGATCGTAATCGGCTAAACGTGAAAAGGTTATTTTTTTTAATGCATAGCAGTTTGTCATAATTCTATTCTATTCTGTTCTATTTTATACATTCCATGGAAAGTGCTTAATTAGCTAAGATTTGTTTATGGATTTATTATTATTTATTACAAACACTAGGGAATTGGAAGGTTTGTTTATTTAAAATAACGCTTCCTCCTAGAATCTTTTAAGAGTTGACTGCAAGGTAAAAAAAATTACTGACAATTGCAAGGCATCAAAGTAAACATTCCTGCGATAAAATAATATCGATTTAAATCAGTCATATTTGGATAAGGAATTTTCTGATAAGTTTGTGTGGCAGCCAATAGTTTAATTTTGTGAAGAGTTGTCATTAAATAGTGGAAATAGTTTAAATAGTGAAGCAGTTGATTTTTGAGTTATTCTACCAGATTTGGTGTGCAAATGAAAGAAGGTTATAAAGTTTAGTTAAGAAAACAATATAAATAGTTTAAATAGTGAAGCAGTTGATTCTTGAGTTAATCTACCAGTTCCGATATCCAGATGAAATCGTGTTAATGGAGTTTAGTTAAAAAACAAGATACAGAATGTAAGTTTACCTTCTTTTTTATGAATAACAAAAATGAATATTATATTTCAAACAATCTATAATCCCATTCAGAATCTGATTCTTGAAAATCAATGATTACACTAGATATGTGGCTGGTATCAATTATATCCTACATTTCAAGAAAATGTCGTGGTTCTAAAAAGAACCGTTTTAATACATATAAATATCCATAAAGGTATTAGTTTAAGATATTTCCTCAATATCATTCCGGAATTCACAATCTGATTCGCGAGCGACAGAAACTGAAATAAAGATAACTCAGCCTCATTTTCTAATTGAAACTAATTTAATAATTTTAATATTAGTCTTTTTTCATTCTCGGTATATCTCGGAATATTTAAAATATTTTTATGACAATAAATACAGAATTTAATTTTCACTGTAGTTAAAATGTCTGAAAATACTAACCTGGAATGGCAATTATCATTTTATCAGTTGTTGTGAAAGTACTGTCACTGTCATTATCAAGATCATCTGTGTCAAATTATATTTATATGCATAATTGATTGGATATCTATTTAGCATATTCTAAACTCCAACCAATTATACGTTCGTAAGTAGAATTCGCTTTAATATGCGAATACCCGTAAACGATACCTAATTTTCTAATTTCTATGTATAATAATAAGCGACTCACGTTTTTTTCTGTCACTTCTAGCTTAATGCGTTAGAGAGACTTCGAACAACTATGACGCACTGAAAAAAGGGTTTGGGACGGACCGTACATACAACGTTTTTGCACGGATACCAACATTGCGGTACGAAAAACTCTGGGAAGGTAAAATGTTTGTAGCCAGATTGAAAAATGCTCGCATTGGTCTTTGGATATACAACGATATTGCAGTAAAACCTCATTTTGACTTAATCTGTCGCTTACAACATTATTGCGGCCCACCTTTCAATTATTATATCAATAAACTAAAAGAAAACGATGTCTTTCACTTGTAAATTAATGAATATTTACTTTACAGTTGGTGGAAGTATCACTGCCGGTTACCCAGTAAGAAGTCAACCACAGTATCAACAGGCCCCTCAAGCTTCGCTGTATACGGGTCCTGCAAGGACGCTGTACCAGTCACCCGTCACTTACCAGGCAAGAGAATGAAGACGACATTTTAACGTATTTTAGAGTAAATTCAAACGTCAATTTTGTTTTACTTTTGATAAAGGAGTAGATGTTATTCACGAAGCTATTGACTATAGAGAAGCATAATTTTATCTATTTGGAAATTTTACAACAATATAAAAAGAACCATGAAACTATATTATTTTTAACACATTATTTGTGTAATTTTATTTTTACAGTTTTAAATAAAATATGCATTTTACAAAGAAAAAAATCTTATATTGATAATCAATAGGAGGTAGATGCCATATATTCTCGGTCTGATGTAATTAATATACACTTCTCCAAGAAATTAACGCACCACTTCAATAAATCAATTTTATTTGTAAACAGGCAAAGAATAAAAAATAAAACTTCACCAGATTTATTCTACATTTTATTAGTAATTATAACAATTTGTCTAATCATCAGAAACTGTTGAAGTACAGGAGAAAAAAAAAACAAATAAATAAATAAAACGAAAAATTCTAAAAAGATAATAAGAAAAGTAAACTAAAATATGAAAAAAGTCTTAATAACGAGTGTTTCCACCTCTACTACGTATAACAGCCTCACATCATTGACCCATACCTAAAATGAATTGCTGTATTTCATACTGGTCTAGTTCTCTCCAACTCTGGATCAGCCTCTCTCCCACTTCCTGTAAGTTGTTTGGTTGGATCGGTGTCGCTCTTAATCGCCTACCAAGGATATCCCAGAGATTTTCAATCGGATTTAAATCCGGACTATGTGCTGGCCATTCCATAGTGTTAATTTCTACTTCTTCTAGATAATTTCTGACGATGAGTGAGATCTTGCATTAGTAAGAAATTTTCACCGATATAAGGAGCGAATGGTACTACATGTTGCTACAGGATCTCCAATATGTACCTTTCAGCTGTAACAGTTCCGTTTTGTATGACCACTAGATCCGCTCTTACAGAGCCTTCCAAACCTCCACAGGTATTCCATCAGGTCCCACTGCCTTACATCCTATTTAACGACTTGACAACCTCATCTGTCGCTACCCCCGGTATTACAATCTTATTGGAGATTCCGCATCCTCTGTTTCTCCTCTGGTGTTCTTCATTTAGGAACTTTCCAAAGTACTGATACCATCTTTGTTTTATTTCAAAATCGGTTCTTAACACTTTTCCATCCACACTCTTAATCTGCCATACGTAGGTTAAGTCCTTTGGCGATTTGTTGCCTTGCTTTAGCAATGCTGTATAACCTTTTCATCTCCTCGGTTGTTTCCAACTCTTCGTACAGCTGTGCCAACGATCTTTCCTTAACAGTAACTACAGCGCTCTTTGCTACCTTGTATCTATCCGTATCTTCCTCTCTTTTAGACTTGCCACAGTTCTTTCTAGCCTCTTTCTTCTCTCTAACCTTCTGTTGCACTTCCTCGTCGCACCACCAAGTTTTTTTTGTCTCTAGGAGCCCATTTGCCAGGTGTTTTTCCTAGCACTTCTTCCACTCGTACCACAACTTTACTGTTGGCTTCCCACCAGTCATTTACCGTATTATTTTTTTCAAGCTCTTCCAGCGCTGTACTTTTAAAAAACCCTTGTCAAATCCTGCCTTCTTTAACTTCCATCACTTCAGTTCCCGGTATCCTATTTGCTTTCCTTTCGCCTTACCTTTATCTCTATATCCACTATCACCGGTCGCTGTTGACTAGCTACACACTCACCCTTTATCACTTTACACTTGGTAACATCTTTTAGCTGACTTCTACACAGCACAAAATCTATCTGACTTTCCCTTCCCCCGCTAGAACAGGTAACAGACTGATCTTCAGTCTTCATAAAGAACGTATTAATGACAGCCAAATCCCATGTCACTGCAAAGCCAATAACACTATTTCTTTCATAATTTCTTATTCCCATCCCCAAATCTCCGCTAACTCTTCTTATTCCGTAATGAAATGTTTATATTGTGAGCATCAAATATATACCAATCTAACCGAGTAGTGGCATTTAACACGTTGCCTGCCGTCTCGATCTATGTGACCGAGAAAAAAATTGTTCTGCACCCAAGCGAGGTCTATTTGACCCAGAATTTTAACGTGACTGTGGTTCCTCTGCGCACCATGGCGTAAGCGGTAATTTTTTCGACCATATAGCAGAAATGGCATTGGCGTGAACGGAAAGTATTACAAATTCCTCTAAGGCAGGCAACATGTTAAATAGTATTGCTTGTATATAGACCTGTTGAAATATAGGCTGAGAAAATATGGCTGCTACCTTAAAAGTTTATTATAATTTGAACTTACCATCACTTTTTTTATGTTATTAATCGAATTAATCTATCAAACGCTGTCTGGGTGTCTTGTATATTTTTATTTATTTTGTGATATTTTGCTAGTTGTAGTCTTCTATGCTTTTATCTAGTTTGTGATATTTTGCTATTTTTTAAGCTTCCTTATATAGCCGTGAACTTGCATGAAACCGTCCAGTAGCAATCATGTAATGGGTCATATTTTTATATACAAAATTATTTGTGGATTTAGTATCTATTTCACTAATATTCATATATTGAAATACGAGCCCCTTCCCATATCAGTTTACCCATCGTTATATTGATAAGAAAATTAAATTTTAGATAACAAAAATGAGAGCGCAGCTTAAATGTTAGAAATTTTAATGCATCGAACAACATTTTGGAATTTCCTAATTATAGTAAATATTTTATAACGTAATAAAAACTATTGAACAGAATAATGATAAATTTAAAAAAATGCATAGAATATGTAATATTAACAAAAAATAAATGTGAAAATTTAGTTCTGACAAAATTCTAGTGTAAACAAATCCCATATTTTTTGTAATTTTTCCTTCAATTCGTTGACCGACGTGGCAGGATGTTTTCTCAAAGTTTTTTTCATTTGGCGCCACAAAATCTCTATCAGGGATTGTTAGAAACAAGGTCGGGACTGTTAGAAACCCATTCCAGAAGTGGAATGCCATGTCTTCAATCCATTTTAAACTCTTTTTTGAGGTATGATAACCTGCGCCGTCCTGTTGGAAGACAAAATCTTTCGCTGATGTTAAACTTTACCACATCTTTAGACAACATGCTGCCCCAGGTAATAACAGATGCAGGAAGTTTGACTTTTTTCTTCAGACAGTCGCGATGGAAAGCTTTATTTTTCCTGTGAATTACGCGACTCCTAATGTCTCCAACACACACTTCAAATCTGGACTCATCACTCTATTGTATTGAATCCCATTGCGACTGAGTCCAATTTTTAAGCTTTTTTGACCATCTTAGTCTATTTTTCTTTTGTTGTAATGTTAAAAGTGGCTTTTCCTTCTGTCGTTCCATGGCTCGCTGAGTTTTTCGAATCTTGTCCATCTTCTTTTTTATGAATGTCCAGGTTTGAGCTCCGTAAGTAAGAACGGGAAGGATACAAGAATCGAACACTTTGGTTCGAAGGTTTGGGGTATCTTTTTGTCTTTCAGTATGTATTAGAGTTTTCCAAATGCGACCCATCCCATGCTTACTCGTCTGCTTATTCGGTAGTTTGGTTTTCTTTGTTTACCTTGATATTCTGACCCAGAAATATGTATTCTTCTATATGTTCCACTTTTGTTCCTTGGATGGTTATCGTCGGTTGGTAACTATCCAAGGAACAAAAGTGGATTTAACGTAAATATGAAAAAATCAATGTATGTTGACATAAGTGAATGCATAGCCAGGGTTTAGTGATTTTTTTATTGTTGAAAATAAATAAAAAAACATAAGGGCAATGTTTTTAATAAATATTAAAATAAAAATGTCATTCTAATTAATATAGGAACTTATAAAAACATGCAGAGTATAATTTGTGTATAGTAATCGAATTAAACTGCAAATTCCATAGCTGGGCCAACTGATATGGGAAGAGGCTTGTAATATGCCAACAAGAATAAAAATAACTATTATATTATATTAATTTGTTTGTTTGTCGATGATCTCAGAGTTCAGGTTAAGACATATCTCTGTTATTCCAAAAACTATCATTCTTGTAGTTTAATGTATTCATAAATAGTATCCCCACAGCCTCTGCGTCTTACTTTCCTTATTTCATGCTTTTCCTTCCAATGACTAACTTTCTTTAATTGCTTGCAATGACTGTACTAACTTATACAGTCCGTTAAGTTTTGGATTAGATATTACACACTACATACAGCGCTAAAATCTGCAACATTGCCTCTCCTATCTACTTAATTGTAATTTTCCGATTCTGCCCGACAATTAGACAGAAAGCTAGAAAAATACACCTCCGTTTTTTTGTTTTTATACTATGCCCGGTTCATTTCTTATAACATACTCGATAAAAATACACTGACTTTTATAAGGCGGTGCAATTGTATCCGTTTTAATAAAGTGAATAATGTGCTCTCCTAAAATGCCATTTCATTGGAGGACGTTAAGTTCGGTAAACAACACTTCTGTGCTGGTTTTCCTGCCGCCAATACCTCGTAATGGAAGATTTGTGCCCCTTCTAACGAAACAGAAGATTTATCAGTGAATAAAATGTTTTTAATAAAATTTGGTTCATTATTAGCCTTCGTTGTTCGACTTTAACA